ATTAGTAAATTTTCAGTTCGAATCAATTTTCCTTCATTGGTTTGAAATGAATCTGAAAAGGTCTTGAAATAGGAAATATGAGCAGAAGCCGATCGTCGGAGAGACAATCGAAAAAATGAAACGACATGATCTTCGTGGAAGAATTGAGCGAGAAATGTTTCGTCTATTACCGAAGTATAATCCTGTTGATTCATACACATTCATTAAATATTCATCATGATCTTTATTTGTAGATTTAGAAATCTTTGCTTCACAATACTGGACATCGAAGCATCACACGAAACACTTGAATACCTTGAATAATAATACTACAATATAATAGCCTATAAAATATGTGGTCCATTGATGAGCTAAACAAATTTTAATTGGGTATAATTTGGCCAGTATCTCGACATTATCTCGAGAACAGAAAAATAAGTGTTCGTGGTTTTCTTTCAGTGTAATTGCAACCAATTCGATTTGGAATTGATTAGAACCGAAATCGGTGCATCCTTATTTACGACCGTCGTAATACTTGATTCAGAATGTCACTCCATTTGAGCTTTTGTGAAAATAGGATTGTTTTCTCATCTCGATTCTGTTGGACAGAGAATGAAAAAAAAGTCACACTTTTGCCATTTACCGATTAAAGGAAAGTTTTCCACGAGATTATCCAGCGTCAGTTGAGCGATGTTTGGTGAATATGTGTCAATGACCGATGAAAATGATATATTGATGTTACATTTATTTGATATCAGAGAGTACTCATCCTAAATTTGGAGAAATCAGTAAAGTCTGTAAGGCAGACGAAAGTATTTCAATGGTGTAAGATTCTGAACATCAACGATGACATCGGTAGGAATAATTTGGATGTGGATATGGATGATATTCTCCCCTTCATCCACACACACACCCTATTTAATCTCTCATTGTGATAAAACTAAATATTTTGGAACCATTCTTGATGGTTAACTGTCAGTCGCTTCTCATTTCAATTACATTGAATCTTAAATTTGTAAAAATTTCACAAAATTTTGAATATCTTCGTTCTAGTTGAATGCTGAATGAAACTGTATCTTATCGATGATATAATGCTTATATGAGACCGTATTATCAATTACGACTTAATATATATCTAATCCTATCAAATTCTAAAGAAAGCCATCTTGAAACTGTAAATAAGCAGATGTTTATCGTTATTCATTATTAGTATGATGCAGCTAATGATAAAATTTTACATTTACTGAAATATAAATCTATTGATAATCTTACACAAACACATTTGTGTTAGATTATTCATACCATTATTGTAACAAATCCATTCGTATTGTCTGACTTTCTTCAACACAAAACATACATGTTATATATGTACCAGTATTATTATAATCCTATTGTACAAAAAGAAAAAAGAGTAATAGTAAATGAGAGAAGCACAGATAAGAAAATTCTAAACTTGTTTCACTATGCTTTGTGTTTCTGAATATATGATTGTAACCATAAAATTTATTTCTATTTCTCTCTCTCTAGTTTATTAACTATTCTTATCTTTTTTCTTGTATATATTTCATTTCTTCTCTATTCAACTCAACAATTAACTAAATGTTCCATTTTTGTATTTTATTTTATTTTACTTATTTTGTGATTTAAGTGTCTTTTTTTTATTATTCTAATGTGTATTTTTTCGTCTCAGTAAAATATGTCTGGTTTTTGTTCCATGCCACCGGGACGAAATTCGTCCATGACAATGAAGGTGAGAATATGCCAAATATTTGAATATTTACATAAAGTAATATTATATATATACATATTTTTTCATACAAGCTCAAATATACGTGTATATGCTTGTTCGAGCAGAACACTTGCTGTCTACATCATTGAGGACGATAGATTCGATTGTGCGATATATATAGTTGTACAATTACATGTGTATTGTTTTAATTAAGAAAGAAAATTATTCTTACTATTAGTCACTATCGTCTGTCAATGAAAATAGGTAGAGCAAAAAAAACATTAATTGTATCGGTTTAATTATGTCCTTCAATTGCAATGCCATTGAAAAACACGTACAAATAATATTGTCCTTCATTCACTGAATTCAATTTTTTTTTGTTGTGGCTGACCATGTCATGATAGGGGGAAAAATTGATCACGGTCAAATGTTAACTACTATATATATATAACAACTTCTGATCAGTCTGTTGCATATTCTGTTGATCATCATTGAAAATATACAATACTCAATTCTTTAAATTTTAGGTAAGATTATGAATATTGCACATTGATTTTTATTTTCCCTCATTACTCAGCCTTTTTTTAAATATTACCATCAACAATAGTACTAATACAGAGAATATATCTTATTTTTCAAGTCATTTTTATGTTTGCTCGTTCACACATACAAAAAGAAATGAAGAGAAAAGCTTAAATCATAAGAATCGATTGTACAATATTATTATTGTTAATCATCGAGAGAACCGAGCTATTGTCCAAAATTGTACCATCCACATATATTCAATGTAATTGAGTATATAGTATATTGTAATGTTCCCTTTCTATTGCCATAAACACTTTTCTATAAAGCACAAATAGTTTGAGTAAAACTTGCACAAGAATAGGTCCGTAGTAGAGATGAGCACAGGACAGGACAAAGATAGCGATAATAACAGGACCGAACAGGACAGAAAAATTTCTCGTGTGAACTTTCTCGTTCTATTGCTATTGATATTTTTTTAAACGACTATCATTTTCGACGCGTCACTTTTTAACACTTGACGTATGTGGTAAGTGATAGAGATCGCTATTAGAATGAATCATAACGTTAATTCAAATATTTGTTGAAAAAAAGCTACCAATTAGATGTAATCATCGATGATTCAGAAATTTTCAGTCACAATACAAAGAGAAAACAACACGAAACAAGTGTTCTTTATTCTTTTCACCCTGAATGTTTTTACTTTCCGTTATATTTTAGTTGTTTCGATCTATTAAATCTCAAACTAAATATTCAGCATGAGCAGTAGTAAAATTTCATCATCGTCGAACCCATTAAATTTCTCAAAAATTAAACAATTACTTGAATACGAAACACATAAATATAGTATTATAAGAAAAAGATTCGTCAACACCATTAATAAGCTCATGGTGTACTTCAAAAGAATATCAGGATATATTAGTTGTTTCAATTGTTATAGTACATTTATTTATGATAATAGTTGTTTTTTGTGATAAAAATCTATGCTATTATTACTTTTCATAGATAGTATCTAGTATAAAATAAGATAATCATGTTCATTCTTTTGTATTTTTTTGCTTGGCATGAATGTGCCATCAAGATATAAAATTAAGATGTTATATTTTGTTGTATTTGAACATAGTAAACAATAAATTAGGTGTAACGTAAATAATAGCAATATTTGCTGAGGTCAATGATTGCCAGATTAAGGACTCTCGTGATCGACTCTCTGTCACTCGAAAAAAAAATGGAATGAATAAGCAAAACAAACTAGGACAAAGTTGTCATGTATTATCCTATCATCCATCAGAACAGGACAGGACAGGATGAAAAATCTTGGCCTGTGTTCATCTCTGGCCCGTAGTATAATCAATATACAACACAAACAACAACGCATATGTCGTCGTCCAAACGCCAAGCAACTAGCAGCTAGGTCACAGGCAGTGTTGACAGTCACAAAACACATGGACGAAGTTCAGGAACAACATCAAGTACAAATTCATCAATCTCATACAATTGCAAACATTATCCAATTGCTTCTTATTCTCCATGATCTGATGAAGTGATAGCTGGTGTTGATGGTAGTGCCTATTACAAACAGCAACAATAACATAGTGTAGGGTGTGGGTGTGAGTGTAGATGAACATAGCCAGGACTAGACTCACACTCACACCCAAATGATGATCTTTTCTGCATGAGTTCCTAACATAATATATTGCTGTTCTGATTATGAGTCGTTCTTCGTATATCATTTTTTGACACTAGCATGGCCTTTTAACAAAACGTCATTTTTGTTTTAAACTTTTAAAAGAAATCTCAAACATTTGCTTTCGAAAACAAATATTAGTACTTCTGTTCGTTTTCAAAGCAACAAAAAGAATCTCTCATCGAATACTTCATTAAATACAAGTGTTATTTTTCATTTAAAAATTTCTAGGTTTTTTCTTGTGCGAAATTAAATTAACATTGAGTCGAGTAGGAGTGTGAGTAGGTTCTCAAACATACCCACATCCACTATTCCACTTTGGAACGGTTACCGACTTTCGGGGCAACTTTTTTTTTGTATAAACATTTGCTGAAAGACAAGTATAAGAAACGAAAATACTTTTATTATGTATCTTACTCTTTAAAAGACGATAATAATGAGAAAAATGGTGAAGTTCACTTATGTAGTTCTTTTTGATCTCTGTTTTGTAAAGAAATATATTTGAACTATTTTTCGTATAATTAAATACTAAATAAACAAAACAAATCTTCTTATATAAAAACGACCAATTAAAATTCATAGTTTTTGCTTGAACTATTATAATAAATATCAATCGATTCATTCGGTTCCATTGAATTCTTTTACCTTCTGTTTAGCTCAGTAAAATTTCCTAAATTATTGAATCATTGATAATGAAATTTCAACTGATATCAATTTCCTATACTTGTGCTGATGATGATTATACCAAAAAAACAATGTATCTTATATTCATAAAAACAATCAACATACAACCATTACCCTTTTCTTTTTTTCTTCTAGAAACAAAAAAGAACATATGTTAGAATATTAGTTCGTTTGTAAATAGATAGCAAATAATAAATATAATTTCGTTCATAATTTGTCATAGAAATCCTCTAATGATGAAATACTCTCTTTTAATCCTTTACGTTTTCGAATATCATTAATAATTTGTCGAATTCTAGTTGAATCATCAAATGTGAACATTGAAGCATAAAGTACATGGCGAGCTGTTGGAATAATTTGACTACTACCACAATGTATAGTATCACTATTTAGTGTAAACTAATGAATATCAAAACGAACACCATGAACATTTGCTTCAGCAAGTACACCCATTCTTGTAGTCCATTGAAAACCAATAATACAACCATCTTTTATTTCATTTAAATATTGTACTTTTTTAGTAGAATCAATTAAAAGATTTGGACCAATTCCTTCAGATCCAAAACACCGAATTGTACATGCTTCATTTATATCATAATCATATTTTTCATTTAAATAACGTGCACGTGCTTGAACGTCTTGACGTGATATTACTTCACCTTTATCAATATCTTCTGGTAAATCTGAAAAATTCGTTGAAAAATAATTTCTCAAATACAATAATTAAATTTTTTTTCAAATACCATCAGGCATAGGTAGAGCTTTTAAGTAGATACGATTATGTTTATTGGGTGATTTTGATATAGTCGTTTTTTTATGTTAGTGTGTTGCCTATTCCTATACAGATATTTTCTTGTATAAATAATCACTATATCATATAAAATTGTCTTGAAAAAGAAAATGATACTCATTTTTGGAAGGCTTTGAACAATTCAACTGCCTCATATTTTCGCACTTAAGTTTAGTCGGCATGTTTTCTAATATCTACTGTGTGTCATGGTTATGAGTTTTTAAGAACAGATTGCTTGCAATAAACGAGCAAAGACTTTAAACATTATTAATGGTACAATACTTGGCCAGTTGCTTTTGAAATCTCAGAGAATCGCTTAAATTATCATTGTCTTTATCCGAGCACTAGAGAGAGTATAACTGCTTCGTGCTATCTCCATTAGCAGAGTTTTTAATTAAGAGGGTGTGGGTGTGGGTCTAGTCCTGGCTATTTTCATCTACACTCACACCTCACACCCGAACACATACTCACACTAACACCCACACCCACCCTATATTGACTAGTTGGTTCATTAAACTTTTTATTAAATTAATTTCAATTACTATAAATAAGATTTAGTTTATTGTGAATTATTCAACAATACTAGTCCAATTGATCAAGAGACAATGTGTTATATCAGTGTTACATTATAGTACACGGCTTATGAAATTAAAATTGCATACTTGTCGATTATTTCATGTGAAAGTCTTGAAGAAAAGTTACGAAGATAAAATCGTTGCGCAAATCAAAGTCAGATCAAAAAGAAAATTTTCAAATAACATAAGAATAAAGAAATAAGCACGTTAAGTTTTTATCTGACCAATGAGTCAAATTTCATATTGCCATCATTATTGTTAAAATACTTGACATATGATCAATATATACAATTTTATCAAAATCTTAAATCAACAGACAAAGTTTTCATTGAAGATAAAAACCATATATTTCATGCGAATGATATTTGATGATTTCAATGAATTGATTCTTTGTTGAAAAATAAATTTCTTTTCTTCATAAATATAATTATTAATAAGTGTGTGAATGTGCGTACCGAATAAAAGAAACTCGGATTTCTACTTTCACTCATACCCTTTTTAGTAATCCTGTGTAAATAAACATGACTATCGCTTTGAAGATTTGATAGAATGAAACTTTAATTTACTTGTTGTTGCATTTTGCAAATATGAGATATGTTTGTATTTCTTATACTCTAAATAAATCAGTAGAAAACTAAAGATGAGTAATGTTTTGCAATAAAACACTGAACGCTTCATTAATATCAGCATTACAGAGTTCGTCGATTTCTGTAGGCATGTATTCGCCTAACGCATAAAGACTCATTTGTGTTGATAATGATTCAAATTCATATTTCACTTCTTGTTTGATTTTTTCAATATCAAAATTTTGATCAAGATCATGATGATTCGACATCCATTGGCGTATAATACCAAGTCGTTCTATTTCTTTTCCATCAGGTTCATCATATTTTTCTAAGAAGAATTTATGACTATTTTTTGTTTTACATTCAAGTTCACCGGCAAAGTAACGATCGAGTAACTTAGTCAATTGTTCAGCATTGTGAAAAATATGAAAATATGTTCGTCGATCATCGTCATTGTCATGTTGTTCCATTGTTTCATAAACTAAAATATGTTTCTGATCGTTGAAATAGAGTGCTTCGAATGGGGTCGACGAATCAGAATCACAAATAAGAACACGCGCATGTTCGATTAGTTTTAATGTGTTTGTTTGTGTGTCAGGTAAGATATTTTTTGATGTAAGAAATTTTCGTACATTTTCTTGTTCTAATTCGCTCAACGAAAATAATGGATTTTTATTGTTCTTAAGTTGATATGTAAGAGGATGTAGTTTAATAACATGTGGAAATGAGAAAGCAACAATTCGTTCGACAATATCTTTGTTCGATAAAAGACTATTTGGAGTATCCTTAGAGGAAAAACTTGGACAAATGACAATTTCAATATTTTTGTCTATTTCAATAGATGATGAATATTTCGTACGCATATAATTAGTGAAAGTAATTGGTAATCGATGTGAATATGCATGAACACAACTTTGACATCCATACATGCAATGACCCGTCGAATATACATCAATAATAGATGGTACATATTTTTGTATGCTACAGAAATAACGAAATTGTGACTGACCGAACGGATAATTGATGGATGCAGTGAGAAGAACAACTACTCGCCGTTGTTGTCGTTGCTGTTCGGCAAGTTCTGATAGAATAGTATCAATGCTAAATTCGTGAACTTGAACACGACTAGATCTAGCAAAATAGTCTTGTATGAGATGCCGTGCTGGATTCCATTTATAAATGAAAAGATGAACGTCAGCAAAGGAGACAAATGAAAGAATCAGTTCTATATGAGCGTAGCCTGTATGATATGGTACAAAAAAGACCAGATTGTTTGACATTTAAGCACTTCTGCAATTTGATCATGCATGCCCCTCTATGATTATATAGAACATAAAGAAAAATGATTGGTGATCAAGTCGCCATTGCTAACATGCACACTAAGCAAGTGCATTGAGATGTATGCATGGATGAATAAACACAGATGACGCCAGTGTGTTGAAATGATCGAATTCGATTACAGTAAAGAATGTTCAAACAAATAAACTGCCTAATTTTTCACAGATATGTTGACTATAAAAATATTAAAAGTAGGTATTACATAATGATAACATGAAAAAATTGAGCAATAGATTACTAATTTAAATTTTATCATGTTCAATTATTGTTCATTTCAATTTAAGATTTGACTATTTCAATAAAATTAGATGTCGAAAGATACACACGATCAATGATAAAAACTGATACCGATCGTCAAATTCACAGATCAAGTCCAAATTTATAAAGTATAAAATTTTTTACTAACTTTTCAAGAGAAAAGTAAAGAGATTAAAGACTTTGTCTAACTACTTTGCTGTCTTCTTCTTTCGACTGTATAACTGTTTATAAAGAACCATATGATGTACATGAATTATTGCAGTTACTTATGTCTTATTAAAAAGTTATTAGATACTGCAGCGAATATATTAAATAAATAGAGCTAAACGAATGTTTAACACTTACTGAAAATGGGCAATATACGATCGTTCAATTGTCGTCCAACAACGAAAGAAAACAAAGAACGATCTTTTTCAATATGTTTTTTCTTCAACGAGAAAGAAAAAAAGATGAAGGAAAACGCGTATCAATCAAATGGTAAAAAAATCTACATAGAAAATGTGGAGATAAGTCATGCGCTGCAATGAATAGACAATAATGATCATCTGTTTCAGTTTTATGTTTAAAGCTTTTGGTCTAGTTTTATTTTTTTTGCAATTTTCCGTACAGATAGAAATATTAACATATTCTTGTATGTTAATTAGTGATTTTATTTGATTGATTTCAATGTGAACTGACTTTTCACTGTTATTGAAAGAAAAATATAATTAGATAATTGAAAACGTTTTTTTCACTATGTACTTATATAATAGTTTTGGATGAGTTAATCATTATTCGTCTTCTTTCACTCATCAGAGAAACCCTCTCTATCAGTCAATAAACTGTATACCAGATGAATTCTCATTTCGTAGAATTGAAGGATAGGTTTGGGCTAAAGTGGAAAAGCTATGATAAAATTTTCAGCCCTAAATCATAATTTTTAGGGGAGATAATGACAGAACAAAGGTCAAAAATAAGGTCATTTGGTAACCCAAATTTCTCTGCTTAGGTTCATTCTATATATATTTAATTTTTTTTATTTGAAAGAGCATGTCAAGATGTAGGGCATGACGGGGTCTTTTTTTAAAAGACTTACTTTTTAAGCGCAAACAAAGGGATCAAAAGTTCGATGACTGAAAACTCCTCTAAAAATTGGCGCTAATTCATATAAAAATATATATAATGAAAAAAGACCTAGACTATTCATGCCCTACAACTTTACATGCTCTTCTAAATAAAACAATTTAAATATATAAGATGAATCTAGACGGAGAAAGTTTGGATGCGCAATCGAAAAAGCTTAAACTCAGAAAAAAACGAAAAAAGATTTTTTGAGATGGAATCTTTCGGAAAAAAACAAGATGCCAAATCGAAAGTCATATCATTTCTGAAAGAACTGAAGACGGGCTATCTTCCCATGCATTTATTTCGGTTTTAGAGTTTCTGACGGAAAATGACTTTTTTTGAGAAGGGGAAGGGACTTAATAACGGATTCAGATTTCACAGAATTCGGATAGATCTCATATATATAATATCTACATGAAAGACTTCTTCCAACAAGAACCTTGTCAGTATTGTAATGAAATAAAGGTTCTATCTGTCAAGATCCTCAAAATGTTAAAGATGTGGATCTGTGAACGAAGGAAATGACACTAATAGTCATACCCTTAATAGATGTACTATATATCAATCAGATTAATCATGAAACTATTTTAAATCCTAAAACATAAAATATTGACTTTGTTAAAACTTTATTCATTCATGAAAAATTAGTTGGTCCTATCGTTAACAAAAATTCTTCTTTAAACATAAATCTTTTACTTGATATAAGATAAATGATGTCTTAATGAAAAAATCATATGGTTCGGTTGACGACTATATACGTCCGCTTCTTTAATCAAAAAAAACTCTTTAATTATTAGAATCTATTTGTTGAATTCTTGTTCAATATCAATATTCATTTTAAATGGAAACGTTTTATTGCAAAAAAAGTCAATCTCTTCATTGAATAGTAAATCAAATTCTGATCGATTTTAAAATATTTTTTTTAAATAAAATTAGCTGAAATCAAACATGATGAATATTAGTTAGACGAAGAAATTGTCTTGTTCGTATTGAAATGATTTTACCAAAAAATCTTTTCTTTATTATTAATAAACTAGGCGGAAGTACCTGGCGTTGCTAGGGAAAATTCAATCTTTATATATGGAAGCAAAACTCCTACTGCACTCGAGAACATGTAAGAAAACCTAATCAGTGGAGTAGACACGCATAAAATCCTATATTTTGTCCAGATTCTGGTTCTGACTCTTGGACGTATTTTAAGTCCCGGCCCCGGCTACTCTCGCTCTCGGCGGATATGAAATACTGACATTGAAAAATTAATCAGAAGTGAAGGATTCTTTGCCATTACACGTCTAGATCCAGAAGAGTTGCATGAAACTTATGAGTTCTATCGGCTTTTTATCTTAGCCAAGCATTTATAAGAGCACATACTTGTCTCGATCATCCCCGGTCTCAACTGATCCCAGTCGTGCTTGGTCACATTCCAGATTCTGGAGCTATCTAGTTGTGTTTCTAGTGGGGAGCCCACATGAACAATCGATTCTTCGACAGCATTGCAAGGAAAATTCGCTTTGATCGAAACTAAGCACACCGATACATCTAATTGATCTAGAACGTAGGGTGTGGATGTGGGTGTCGGTTTGAGTGTGGCTGTGGGCTAAAAGAAAGGACACATCTATAGCCACATGCACAACCACACACCCACACACCCACCCTTCTAAATATCTGACCAGCATGGCGATAGTTGTATTCGATATTAAGTTTTGAAAACAGTCAAGCAAATAGAAAAGAATAACAAAAGGAAATGGAACATAGTTTTCTAGTTCTTGTTCAATTATGCCTTTATCTTGTGAACTTCAACTTATTTTTCTAACATTTAAGACCTGATTCTGAAGATATCTAGATATTTCAATTAGATAATTGAATTTTTAGTGAGGTATTTATGAAGTCTATCGACTGTATCGAGAAAATATACCAATATAATTCTCAGGAAAAGTAGTTTTCAACATATTTTTAGGCTCCTGTAGAACTAGTGCAAAGATATTTCTAAATGTTCATTGACGATCATAAACCCATGTAAAATCGTACGTTACACTCAAAGAAAATGAGATGCATGCATGAAGAGGAGCAATATCGATGTTATAAATTTCGATAACCTACAAAAATTAAATATTCCGGAAAATGCTCCTTCGTACAAATAAAAATCTTCTCGGAACTTCGAATCTCAATCAACGTCATCGTTTCTGTTAAAATAGATGATGGTCTCATAAACTGTTTCTTTAGAAGCACTTTTGTGACAATCGGACTGTGAGAAATCCGTAATACTTTCAAGTAATATATTAATAAACTGAGTCCACAGAGTAACAAATTGTGTTAAAATTCTCATATAATATTCTATTCTTCATTGTGACGGATTTTAAACAAAAAGCTGATTCAGAAGAAATATTGCATGATGATTTTGGACAATACTTATAGTTGACGCATACTATATTTTTTTACATTTACTACTTCTTTACTTGTGTATGCCACTCACAGCATTGCATTGCTCGTACATTAGATTTTTAAACATGTTCATGTATTAAATAGTCTAAAGAAGAACTATTTATTACATATATATACAGTTCGTCTATTGTCAAACATCGTAAATGATCAATGACAGATATTTTAAGGAGGATAGCATCAAGAAATGTCGAATGTTCGATCAAAATTTATGCGAATTTTCTCAGTTTGGCATTTTCAGATTCAAAAATTATACGCAACATTTAACGACTAACAAGCATTCTTTTATGGATAGATTCGTTGAACGATATTCTTTGAGTAACGCTGCTTTTCTGAAATGAAAGAATCCTATCGAAATATTCCAATGAAATTCGAGCATATCTCAATAAACTTCAAATGCGGAAAAATTATTCAACGGCTACAAATTTTTTTATTAGCTAATATTAATTTGTTCAAATTATTCTACAATTGTTGTTTGAATATATTTGTTAATATAGGATCTACTAAGTCGTTGTTATGCTTCTCAACCGACATCACCAATGATTCGTACAATACTTTTTGATGTATTGTACAAAATTATTCGTTCAAATTCGAATCATAACGTAGCTAGACGCTGAATGAACCGAGAAGTGTCATCCAAGTCCAATTGTGCATACCCAGAACTCACCAAAATGCTACACATGTATCAGAATATTGCGTTGAAGAAACAAGATCATCTTGTAGTAAATAGAATTGTGGTATAGGATGTATTCAATGTGATTGAACTTCTGCATTGAGGACGTATTAAATG